TTTTGGAGCAATATTTAGATCATAGCCTAAACGAAATACATTCATATTTATGATATATATGTGAATATATGCAAGCAAGACAAATGAAATCATAACTAGATTAGCACAAAAATATAACTTGGATCTTTAACTCAAGACGATTAGACCTTAAATCAAAGAGCACCAAGCTCTGATACCAATTGTTAGACCCTAGAGGGGGGGTGATTAGGGTCTTATGCTAATCTAATCCGATTAAATACCAATTAAAATCTAATCCGATTATATGCCAATTAAAATTAATTAACAAATTATCCTAGCAAGTATGAAATGCAACAAGATATATGAGCTAGGATAAGCAAAATGAACAATGAGATATATCCTATATGATAAAAATATATGCAAGGATATATAAACTAATACAAGGGTGAAATAAACATAAACAAGATAGTGGATGAAATAAAATGAGCAATGCATAATTGGCGATATAAGATAAATGCAAAAGCAAATGCGTCAATGACAAACTCAAACACACTCAAATGATCACGGAGTTCGGACCTTCCGTCCTACGTCTCCACTCCCCACTCCCGGTAGCCCTCAACTTTGGTAAAATTGCGGATGAAGCTTGAACTTGGATCTTCAACTTGAATTGTACTGGCCTCACTCCACAATTTCCGCCAACCTCCGATGGTGATGTGATCGCTTGAAGCCCGCAATTCACATCCATCCTCCAACTCGTTGTTTACCATTTAGAATAAATACGAAAACACAAACACTAGAAAAACAACATTAGAAGTAAAATTGTTGTTAAACATCATCAAAAACAAGCAAGGCTAACAATCCTCCCATTTTTTGTGATGCAAACAATTTAACAAAAAGGATATATGCATTGAAAGAAATGAACTATACAAAGTATTATATATCATGCTTATAAACAAGAAAGAATATACCTCACAATATTTCTCGCCCGGCTTTGAACAACAAAAAAGGGGACAAAAGTATAAGAGGCAGAGCGAAAGCTCCCCAGTATCAATAAGCGATACGTGAGTATAAACACATAGAAAGATATAGGAGATTGCTCCCCCTATCAAAATACATAATGAATATGATTGCAATGAATGCTTAAGGCATAGCATAGTGAGCAAGCAAGAAACCATGGCTAAACACAACTCACACACAAAAAGACAATGAGAACACATATGAAATATATCATATGAACCATAGTGTTCTCATATCAAAGAACGTAATGTATGATATGAAATCAAAGAGACAGGCTCACCGATCAACGTTCACTCCTCACACTAAATCACAATTACAATAATTGTTTGTTCTCTAATATGGATGAAAACACAATGAAAGCTCACACTCAATTGTCACAACTCTCACCAACCCAAATATACTATGTATGAAAATACAATAAGCTCATGTGGGTGTGTGTAAGCAATGAGTGAAATAAAATCAAATCTAAACTCAATATAAAAACTAGCTTTAACGAATGATAATCAAATAACTAAGCAAATGTAAAGCTAGATAAGAGTTTAGAAAACTTCTCTATAAACACAAAGGAGAGGATGAAGAAGATTGAGGATGAATCCCTCAATTGACAACATAAGCTTCCTCCTTTGTAAACACAAACCCCAAACTTAAAACAAACTATAAAACCCTCTTAAACTTATTTAAAACTTTCTCATTGTATATGAAATGATAACTACAATAGGGTATATATAGGGTAGAAGAAAACAACCCCAAAAACCCCAAAAAACCACTAAAAGATAAAAATCAGCAAGTTACCGTTACTGTGTAACGGTAACATTGGCGGTCAACCGTCACGATCAACCGTGAGAAGAAAAACTTAAAAACTGCACTCTGGACTGCGTACGGTCGACCGCCACGGTTGACCACACTGTAGCAACGTGCACAAACAATTTCAGGTTTTGACAGATTCTGGAAATTTGTGTATCTGATTTTGTAAAATCAATTAAAAATAGTAAATCAATTCTAAAAATCATGAAATTTTGAGGGAAGGTTCTAGACATGCAGATGAACATGTTAGAGAAAGAATTCTAGAAAAATCACTTCCCAGTTGATAGAAATAAATGTATGAACACAGATAAATAGTTTCTAAAAAACTGCTGAAAACTTGTTTTTGTAAATTCAATTGAAAATAACAAAACAACTCCAAAATTAGTAAAACTTGGGGAAATATTTGTATATATGAATATAAACATGTAAAAGAAGAAATTTTTCAAATTGCATTTCCCAATTGTGAAAACTCATGTATTTTATAAGTATGTCCAAAACATGAAAAGTTGATAGACATGAAATTTGATGTTTTGACATAAACACAACTTAGAAGCATTTTCAAACGTTTTTATAGACTTAATAAAATATGTATACAATGATTGTTAAGTCCATAAACCAAAACTTATGTATATATATAACTATATATATAAAAACCAAATATGTGTGTGTATATATGATTGAGCTTAAAGTACTAACACACATAATATAAAATCTAAACTAAATTATCCAAGCTTGATCTTGATCTTCATTGTAGCTCAACTTGACAAACTTGCGGATGAAGCTTGAACTTGGATCTTCAACTTGAATTGTATGGCTTCACTCCACAATTCCGCCAACCTCCATTGGATATGATCGTTGAAGCGCAATTCCATCCATCATCCAACTCGTTGTTTGCCTAGAATAAATACGAAAATACAAACACTAGACAAACAACATTAGAAGTAAATTGTTTGTTAAACATCATCAAAACAAGAAGGCCAACAACTCGAACAATTGTCGAACTATTTGTTAATCATTTGGTTCATTTCCATCCCTACCAGAATGCAGCACAAAAAAAAGTTTAATAATATTAATAATTGTGCATGACCATCTGTACATTCAGTCACATTGAACCCTCGTTAATTTTTTTACTATCAATTAGAACCTTGCAATGTCATTTTAATTAGAAAGATAAATTGGATATGAGACCCCTTTTTCTCTGAATTTAAGGAGGCTAAATGCTAGTAAATAAGTTGCAGAGTGTTCCATACAAATAAAGTTATAATTGATGGGGTTATCTGCAATTTCTTCCTATAAAATCATGCAGGAATATTGACAAATTACGAAAAACGAAAGCTTCAGTGATTCTGATACGGAGTCGAAGAAACCATTTTAACCGTCCAATATCGAGGTAAATTGATGGTTAATCTAATTATACGTGTATATATATAGTATCTACGGTACTCTAATTTTACTATAGTTATTTTATGATTATGATTTTTTTTACAGACAGCCTCTAAGTAGTTATTTGTTTCCCATAACTTTCCAACACTTAAACAAAAGCCTCTCTCAACCATTACAACCCAGTTATTTTCGCAAAAAACAAGGCTTAATTGCACTTAAATGCCCTATAGTTTTCCGACGTTAGAGCATCTCCAACAGCTTCCCCAAAAATTTCTCCAAAATGGGGAATCAAATGTCATATTCTCCAAATTATTTTTGCTCCAACTCCAACAGCTTCCCCATTTTGAAGAATCATGCATTTATTACAATAATAAAAATATTCTACATCTTTGACTAATAAATAATAAATTATTTATTATTTTGAAGAATCCCCATTTTGACCAAATTATTTATTATTATAATGAGGAGATGGAGTTGTTTTTTTGGGTTGAGTCTAGAAGAACGTGAAAAAGTGCTTCCCCAAATATTTGCAGAATGCTGCAGATTTGGGGAAGGCTCTCTATTTTTTCTCTCCTATCCCCATTTTGGGGAATGAGATGGAGAATCTGTTGGACCAAAAAAAAGCTCAAAATTCTCCAAATTTTAGAATACCAAGAAGATGGGGAAGCTGTTGGAGATGCTTTTATACTTAAGTGATCTCGTTTATCAATCTGAATAAAAAAAAATACCTTAATGTATTTAAGTGTTGTAAATAAATACTCTGAAGTTACAAAATATTATATGTTAGTGCCCTCTTGTTTACCCAATGTCACCTATAAATGCTCCGTAGTTTATAAATGACCTCACTTAAACACCCTAAAATTTCTTAGTGTTTCACTTTAGTATCATCTGTTACGTGATGCAGAAAAAATATAATATTATTTAGATTTTATTAACTATGAAGCATTCATTTCGCAACACTTGGCAAATTTTGTTCTGTTTAGAATTGTAGCCGATTTAAGTGCAAAAAGAAGAAGAAGAACTCCCTGTTTTTCAGCTTCAAAAAAAAGGTGCAAAAAGAAGGCCCGCGAAATGAATAACATATGTCCGAGATCCAAATCTCGGCCTCGCTCTAAAGCTTCTCCAACCACAAACCCCAAGTCGGAAGTCACGGTGGCCCCACTCCGCCTCTCACGCCAAGATATTCTTCCCCCGCCCACATTCTATTGAATCTAACACCCCCCCCCCCATCCCCCCCCCCCTCTTCCCACACGTCACGCTCTCCTAAAGCATCCATCCATGAAGTCCATCGCCCGCTTCATCAAAATTGTGTTTCTCTGTGTCCTCCCAAATCCGAATATTTCCTAATTTATGCACATTTTTTTGACTTGTAATTAAAACATCTCTCTTATTTTAATGCCATTCTTACATTTCAAATTAAAAGCTAGTGTAAAATGACAAAGGTACCCGTCTCTTTTCAAAAAAATTATAATAGTCCTTTATTAGAATTCCCAAGTTTATTTTTAGTGGATTCACCCTCAAATCTGTGTTTATTGCTGATTGACTCCCATGAATTCAATATGGAAAGAACTTAGAGCATCTCCAACAGCTTCCTCATTTCCCATTTTTAAAGAATTTAGTTAGGTTTTTGGTCCAATAGATTCTCATCTCATTCCCCAAAATAGGGATGAAGACGAAAAAATAGGGAATCTTCCTCAAATCTATAGTATTCTCTAAATTTTTAGAAGGAAAAAAAGATTCTTCAAAATGAAAAAGCCGTTGGAGTTAGTGTAAAAATAATTTGGAGAATATGATTTTGCTTACTCATTTCACAGTCGTACACTAACACTCTCCTCCCCCGGTTCCTATATTAACGCTCTCCCCCGTTTCCCCCTCTCCCCCTCCTCAATCTCAAGATCCAAAAACCCGCTACCCCCGATCCAGATCTGACAACCATGGGCTTCGAAACCAAAGGCCCACTGAAGTTCCTGATCTACGGCCGCACGGGCTGGATCGGCGGACCTACAATCGGCCGATGTGCCGAGAGCCAACCGGATCGAGTACGAATACGCAGCGCCCCGGGCCGGCTGGAGAACCGGGCTGCCCACGCTGGAGGACGACGTGTTGCGCGGGCCCAGCCCACCCACGTGGATCAACGCCGCCGGTGCGGTAACGGGCCGGCCAACGTCGACTGGTGCGAGACCACAGCGGTGCGAGACGATACGGCGCCAACGTCGTTTGCGCGGACTCTGACCCTAGGCTGATGTTGCAGGGAGAAGGGCGCTGGTGCTCATTAATTATGCGACTGGGTGCATCTTTGAGTACGACGGTGCGCATCCCGAGGGGTCTGGGGTCGGGTTTAAGGAGGAGGACACGCCCAATTTTGTTGGGTCCTTTTATTCCAAGACCAAGGCTATGGTAGTTCCTTACTTTGATCCTTCAGCTGGTTTGATTTTGTTTTTCGTTTGGGTTTTTTTTTTAAACCGTGATGTTCAATAGGAAAAAGATTTAGTTGGCAGCGAGGTCCAAAACTTTGTAGCAGTTGATCTGATTTGGTTTTTAGATTGATTTAATAATTGGATGGTATTGGTGTTAAGCTTACTTTTGTGTGAAGCATCGATTTTGACTTCGAGAGTAGGATGGGAATGGTTTAAGGTTTATGGTCCAAGGTTTTGAATTAGAGCAACGAATTGCTTTATAATTAAGTTTCTGGGTGGGTGGGTGGAACCTTTTCATGATCTCATCCCGGATCTAATGCGCGCTTGCAAAAGATTTGCTAGTGTTAATGTTTAAGGGCATGATTTTATTGGCTGCAGCTGGCTACCCTGTCAACCAAAATGTACTTGTCATCCGATTTGGATCTCAAGATGTGGATGCGGCAGTATAAGGATTGTAAAGCGGTGGGTTTAGGCTGATCTAGACGAGGGTACATCCTTCATTCACCAGTAAAACTTTTGTAGTTATGGGGTCCAAAACTTGTAATTTTGGAGCTGAGATTATTAAGCGTAGCATTGACTATGTGTCGCGAATTATGCCTATCCAGCAGCCATGAGCAATAAACGGTAGTTACACGTCTTTCTCACTTGGGTAAATAAGAAAATGTAGATGACATTTTGTAGTCATTTGATTATGTAATTGGAGAGTCAAATCAAACCAGACATTATATTACAAATGCTCCAACTAACTGTAGCTCAAGCTGCATGCAGTTGGAGATGTGTTGAGCTGAATGATGTTTGCTTGGGTGCATGGCTACATAGTTAATCAAGCAGTCAAGCCATGCAAAAGCTCCACTTTTGTTTTTCTTCTCAAATAATTTTCCTTTCTGGAAACATGGTTATATGTGAATTTATAATCATAGATGGACATGTAAGTTATTGAATTGTGTATAGGTTAAAGATGGACCGAGTTGAATGATAAAAAAGAAGATTGAATAGAACTAAACAAAACAAAGGAGAAACAAATAAAAAGTAGCAGCAAACTTGGTTGGAAAAGGAGTAGAAAAGTAGAATAAATAAGCACGAAATAGTAAGGACGTTGAAAAGAAATAAAATATATATCCTAGTAGTAACTGAATTATGGAGGCTATTGAGTATAATGGCTGAAGGAAAGAGAGAGTGGTTTGGCCCTAGATTTCTATGGTTGCTGGAAAGAAAGAGTGATTCAGTCGAAGATTTCTAGAGGTGTATTAGTTTGCAATCTACTTGTCTGGAGAAGGGGGATGTGTGTGCTGGTGGAAGTGGGAGACGGGGATTGGGTGTAATTTTTTTTCTGATGGAGAGGGAGAGAGAACGAGAAGGAGAAATCTTTATGTGATAATGTTATGGAGAATTGGGCCTATAGGTTGAAAGGGCAAAGAAGGGTTTGCTTATGCTCCAGGTTATGTGGAATTAGATTCTTTTTCTTAAGTTTCTCTTTAAAATATGTACTGGTGCATCTTATGGACACTGATAGGAATAGTTGTAGCTATAGACAGAACAAAGGAGTTGTTGCAATGCAAATTAGGTTAGGAAAGATAAGGTGGTTCAATTGTTCAAGCTGCTTAGGTGGTCTAAGTAGGCACCTAGAAGCTTTCAGATGCTGGTTTACGGTGGTATCGGTGAGAAGATAGGGAGGGGTAATACACGAGAGTGAAAGGAGAGAAATTGAAGTAACAAATATGTGGTACCTTGGAGGATCTAATATCCTCTCCCTTGGGTTATCTCACATGCACTTTTTCTTTATAGTATGTCCCTGGTACTTCTTTGTTTTGGGTTTTCCCGTTTTGTTCACACCTCCTTGGGTTTCTCAATCCTACTTGGATGTAGGTATCTTTGTTAAGCACATGTATTTGTTGGGTTCTTATTGTTTCACCAAATTTGCTTGCATTAACTAGGGTTTAGTTATTCAACAGAGAATGTGAAAATATTCATTAGGACAGCACAATTAATTTGAACACCAGCTTTGCAATGGTCTTTTACCACTTTGGCATGAAAGGTTTTGTAGATATGTTTTTATATGGATCACAAGCTTACATCTTGAGGTGAATTCATGAAAGTCACGCATTTGGTGATGCCCTCCTCCCTCCTGTTTTCTGCCTGTGTGCATTTGTCTTAAGGGGATGTGTGATAAAAAAAAATACCCTGGGATGGATACATTCACAGATACTTGAGGTCTAAAACGATCTCAAAGCTCTTCTTATGGAAACTCATGTAGTTCAATAGTATATGACCATTCCACCAATAGTGATAAGAATTTGCATGCTTGATATGAGATATTGAGCTGCTTACTAAAGAAATAAAAGCATTAGCATCATTGTTGGAGGGACCATCTTTTAAGGCTAGCCAACATTTGCAGCACCTTCTTAAATTCTTTTGTTGCTATTTTTACACTCAAAACACTTAGCCTTAGCCAATATGCTTCCTTTTCCCCAGAGGTTAAATCTCTTGCTATATGTTTTGAGTTGATATAAGGTCCTGTCTACAACTAAAGCGCCCTAGTCAGCTAGTGCTTTCTGCTACTACTGATATTCTCAACTGTTCATCTTTTAGGGTTGTTAGATTCTCTTAGATGGTTAATGGTCAAGCCAATGGGTCAACTGTAGATATGCTTTGGTTTCTAACTTAAAGGATCTGTGCACTGACTGGAGAAGTGGATTTGCTTCATAAGCTGAAAAGTATGCATTTTTTAGATACCTGTTAGGGAAAAGCAGGTTCTTTAGGAATAGTTATTGTAGTCTCTTGAGATATTTAGTCGCAGTGTATCATTAGTATATCGTGAATCAGTAAACTGAATCTCTTTATTACGTTTTTAATTGAATCATCTGTTTGATATTTAATATAAATCAGAAATTTTCCTTTTTCATTTGAGTTGATGTGACCATAATGCATATTCTAACTATATCCTTCCATCATTATGGCATCATGTAGGTAGATCTTGGCTTCTTTGTTCCTCAGCTGACTCTGTGTTCTCCTGCTTCTAGATACCAATAGTAGGAGAATGGAAAAGAGCTGCAACTAGATGTTACATCAGATAGCAACGGAGTCCATTTGATCAAGAATTAATTAATTTCATTCTTTTGTCCAGACATCTTTTTTGTTCTTCCAGATTTTCTACCCAATAATTTTAATTTGTCCGTGTTCTATAATAGCATGAAATATGAGCTTTGACAAGTTAGAAGATCCCCACCATTAAATAACCATTGCCATCAGCTTCAAATTTGCTTGCCGAAGAATGAATGCACTGCATACCTACTAATAAATTTTGCATCTTTAACTTGATAGGTTGAGGAGCTACTCAAGAACTACGAGAACGTCTGTACTCTCCGAGTCAGGATGCCAATATCCTCAGACCTTTCCAACCCTCGCAACTTCATCACCAAAATCGCTAGGTATGACAAGGTCGTCAACATCCCAAACTCCATGACCATCCTTGATGAGCTCCTGCCTATCTCAATCGAAATGGCGAAGAGGAACCTCACCGGGATTTGGAACTTCACCAACCCTGGTGTTGTAAGCCACAACGAGATCTTAGAGATGTACAGAGACTACATTGACCCAAGCTTCACCTGGAAGAATTTCAATCTTGCAGAGCAAGCTAAGGTGATTGTTGCACCTAGGAGCAACAATGAATTGGATGCCACCAAATTGAAGAATGAGTTCCCTGAGCTTCTGTCCATTAAGGAGTCGCTTATAAAGTATGTGTTCGAGCCAAACAAGAAGACATCTGCTGCTTGATTGGTTGTAAGCTCATTTCCGTTTCATTTTTCATTTCACATTTCTTAGTAATTCTAGTCATTTGTATTTGTGCTATTTCGGTGGATTTATGAGACAATAAACGTTAAGTAATGTGTTCTGAGGTAGCCATTGCACGCATTAATGTGAAATTTCTGTCGATGGCAAAGAAAAACTTTTGACGTCTACTGGTCCTTGTTATGGTGCTTTGTATTTTTCTCATAGTTCATATACTACTGCATCTCCCTTGAGTTTTGAGGGGCTTTTTTTTTGGGGTGCTGTTATAAACTTTGAATAAAAGAGATTTTTGTTGGAATCTTGTTGTTATATCTACATACATCACATATTATAAGTAAGAATCGAACATGAAATGTAAGAGTAAATAAATAGAGAAGAGAAGAGATAGGGAGAAAGTGATGTAAATAAATAGAGAAGAGAAGAGATAGGGAGAAAGTGATCATCTCATTTTATTCATCTTCTATTTCTCCATACATTTTGTAGTCCATGACATAATAGGGAGAAAGTGATCATCTCATTTTATTCATCTTCTATTTCTCCATACATTTTGTAGTCCATGACATATATTATATAGATGGATAATATGAAGACTAAAGGACATGGGCTAATGAAGAGTCATCTAATTAATTGTCCATATTCAAGTAATGTTCACATTCATCTTATCTTCTAGATTTCAACACTCCCCCTTTCTAATTAATTGTCCATATTCAAGTAATGTTCACATTCATCTTATCTTCTAGATTTCAACACTCCCCCTTGGACATTACTTCGTGATGTCAATGCCTCGTTAAAAACCTCGCTAGAAAAAACCCAGTGGGAAAAACTAGTCGAGAAAAAGAGTACATGACATACATGCATTATTTCTGTTACATCAGTTGTCTCGTTAAAAACCTTTCGCTAAGAAAAACCATGTAAGATAAAAACTTAGCAAAGGAAAAAAGAGTACAACTATAGATCTTCGGGATCCAAACTTGTGTTGCATTAGCTGTCTTGTTAAAAACCTTTGGCTAAGAAAACCCAATGGGACAAAAACTTAACTTAGGAAAAAATAGTACAACCACCACCTTCGGGGTTTGATCTTCAGGATTATTCTAAAAAATAATTCGCTCCCCCTCAAGACAACAAACATTCAAGTTTATTCATACCGTGGTGGCCAAGCACGATACCATAAAATTAAAAGTTGATGTATTAAGGGATTTGGTGATCAAATCGTCTAGATTGTCACTACTTAGAGCGAACTTATTTATGTTAATTTCATTGTTATTTTCGAGCGCAAGTGGATAAAAATTTTCAACATCTCATTTATGCAACACAAGTTACATTGTCCTTGGAAAAGACAACGGGAGTAATATCCTTGTTTAATATGCCACACGATCATCGAATGTGTTGTATCAGCGATTTGAACCTTACACGTTCGCATGGGGCACATATAGAGGAACAATCTCTGAGTGGTTTCAACTAGTAAACATTGTCTGCTTAATAGACCTCCAAGAAATAACAGTACCACTGCAGAGAAAAACATAGCCAGTCAGAGATTTGGCAATATGTGGATCAGTTATATAACCAACATCTGAATAGCCCACCAATGTCATATTTCGATTTCTTTTATAGAATAAACAAATATCTCTTGAAGATACCAGATATTTCGATTTCTTTTATAGAATAAACAAATATCTCTTGAAGATACCAGAGGATATATTTAACATTATTTCAATATCTCCTTTCAGGAGATGCACTAATTACCAGAGGATATATTTAACATTATTTCAATATCTCCTTTCAGGAGATGCACTAATTCTTGCTAACAAGTGCAACACAAATGCAATATCAGGCATGGTGCAATTTGTAAGATAAATAAGTACTTCAATAGCGCGCTCAAATACGGGACTCCGGGTCCTAAAATATCCTCGTTATCTTCTTAGGTTTGTATGGGTCTTTATCCACTTCAAGGGATTTAACAACCATTGGTGTGCTAAGTTCATAAGATTTATTCATTTAAAATCTCTCCATGACCTTCTTCAGAGAGGTTGATTGGTATACCAATATTTCTTTAGGAACATGCTCGATCTGCAGGTCAAGACAATACTTGGTTTTTCCTAAGGTTTTTCGTTTCAAACTCCGTCTTTAGGCATGAGCTAGCTTCTGTAAGCTCCTTGTGCGTTCCAATAACATTTATATCATCAATGTAGACTGAGATAATACAGAAGTCATTTTTGAATTTTTTTATAAACACACAAGGGCATACATCATTATTTGCATATCTCCTCTTCAGGAGGAACTCACTCAATCGGTTATACCACATTCTACTCGACTGTTTCAAGTCGTATAACGACCTTTGCAATTTAATGCTATACATGTTGCGATTCTCGTTTTCTCTCAATTCAAGAATTTTAAGTCCATCAAGGACTTTCATATAAAAATATTAGCGTCTAATGACACATATAAAAATGTGGTCATGACGTACATATACTGCATATATAAATTCATAGTTTATGCCGTAGGTATTAACTTGCGGAACGTAATATAATCACTAATAGGAGAATATTTTACATCTAAATCGATGTCGGGTCTCTGCGTGAACCCATTGAGCTATGAATCTCGCTTTATATCTCACCACCTTACAATTCTCATTTATTTTTCTTACGAAAACCCATTTATAGATCGATGCCGGGTCTCTGCGTGAACCCATTTAGCTATGAATCTCGCTTTATATCTCACCACCTTACAATTCTCATTTATTTTTCTTACGAAAACCCATTTATATCCTGCAGGGATATATGAACTACAGGTTCAAAATACTTTAGCAAGTTCAGCTCAGCCTCAATTGCCACTTTCCATCTCACCTAGTCCGAGTGCTTCAAGCACTCTGCTACCGACTTAGGTTCTGGATCCAGATTATTTTCAAAGATAGTAAGAGCAACTGTAGATGCAACTATGTTGTCGATAACTTTTATATTTCTATTATATATTTCTCTTTTTTCATAAATTCGTGGCCACTTCAGTTCTTATTTTATGTCAACCAAATCCTCGTCATTTCCCTTAACAATTGGATTTGGTCGTTCCGCATCTCCAATATTATGATTATCAAGTGCACGTGCAATTTACTGGAGATTTCGTCTTCAGGACAAGCCTCTTCTGGAGGTTATGGGAGTGACTGTCTTTCTATAATAGATTTGGTATGCCGCGGACTTTTATCTTTTACACTAACATGTTTCATATGCTTCTGGCATACCAAATCATCTATGATATACACAACATGAATATGGGGCTTAGTTACTCTTTTCTTAGCAGATTATCATGTGAACTTTTGGTTCGGTTTGACTAGTACGTGGATATAAATATTGAATATGTTTTTCATCAATGGAATTTCTTGACATTATTTTATATTTTGGGCACTAATCTCCCCCTAATATCGAGAATTGATCTTCAATAAAAAATGCAGTCAGCGTACCAAAATGTAAATTGATCCCCTAACATGGCCCATATGTACTAAATTATTGACGGAGTTTCATAAATAATGTATGTATCTTCACCGAGGTCTCATAGAGGTACGCTATGGTGGTGATATAGAAACATGGACTGCAAATAAAGAATACGCAGATAGGAAATGTTTTTGCTTCTTCACCACGTATTAGATAAAGGGAAAAATTTGTGATATGCAGTTGGTCGGATTTGGTTTGAATGCCCCATTTAATTTAAGGAAATCCGACAAATCATATTTTGTCCAAGATGACCCAATAGTTCATGCCAGAATTTAAAAGATTTTGGGTCCCTAAATCTCAAAAATCATCGCAACATGGTGTATTTTAGGTCATACAAATTCTAAAGTGTATAAATAAAAACCACATAGATTCACAAGAGTTTAAAGCAAACTCAAGTTAAATCAAAATTGTCTAACAAATGCATATAATCCAAATATAGAAAAACCAAATAGTTTACCTTGACCACCTCGACAAGATCCACTTCAATGTCCACTACCTTCCCTCGTCCAAGTTTATGAATATTAGTTTGAATTATGACATGTGCTTCAGGCACTACGACTGAACCAATTAAACTTGCATTATGGTTTCTCACAATAGCTGGTTGTGTTTTTAACAACTACTAATGCGAGGATTAGTTCATAATGCTTTTAGTTGTACTATTGTAAAAGTACAAGGTTACTTGTTGAATTGTATTCAGTCGAGGGTTTTAAATCCAAAAATGGCTACATGATAAGATCTCTTACTATGTTCATAGCCTCCTCCTTGTCCACGCGTATAAGTAATTTTCTGAATTCTAGCATGTGCTCCAAACACAACTCGTAAGCTAACTAGTCTAACATTGTGATTTCTCATCAATAATTTGTTGTGATTCTCTACAACTCTAAATGCAAATATCAAAGCAGAATGCTTGGCATAATTTTTGGTCATGTACTGCTACTGGAGTATAATACTACTTGCATGGAATGAGAAAAAATATTTTCGATCAATTCTGCAAGCTTCACCGGCTAGACAATATGGCACATGGTTGAATCGTATTTAGTCATGTATTTGAAATCCAAAAAGTTCTAATTCAGTTTGCCAGTTGCGTTTGAGGGAAGATTATTGGCTTCCATAGATCAAAGTGATCCTTCAGGGATTGCTCAAAAAAATGAATATTTTTTCAGTGAGTCATTAATTTTTCACGTCTTAATTGATAGAGAGAAAATATAAAGTGTTTGCCTTCTGAGCAAAGATACTTAAAGAATCAAGAGATATAATCGTGTAAAAATCACAAGGGTGTCCAGTAAAAATGAACGTTCGAGGTCAAAGACAAGTAATAATTACTATCATATATCACAGTGCACTAATTATGGGGACGAAATATTAGTGCATGAGAAATTAGAAAAATTCACATTTTAATAAGATCACACATAATCACCAAAATCATCAAGCTCTTTTTTCTAACAAGTAGCAAGATTACAACAATTTTGATTTTCTTTGAGTTCTCCTGAGATTCTAATTAGATTGATTTCTTTCTTGTAGATGCATTATGAAGGAGACAGGAATCCTAGTTTTGTTGGATATTGTTCCTATTACGTAGTCATTTATCCAGATAATATCAATAGCCGTGAAGACATGTACGCAAAAAGAGTCGTACCTGTCACACTTACTGTGTGGAAAGTTAGTTTGGCAGCATAAGAGCATCTCCAACCCAAAAATTTAAAATGGTGTAGTTTTTATATCAA